GGTATCTAAAATCAGCCACTTCTTCTAATCTTTCGTTTCCTATCTTTATATTCACTCTTTTCCTACTTTTCCTTGCATACAAGTATTTTTGTTTTACTTTTATTTATTTTCACACAATACTGTTTTGTCAATTTCACTTCCATTTTATTTAAAGCTATAACACAATAGTTAACTAGTTGACTAGTTATAAAACCACTAAACAGAGAAAAGGAAATTAATGAAAATAAAAACGGAATCACTCTAACAAAACGTGACCTTATAAGTTTGTATGAACAAAATGCAACTTTTCATATGTACTACTGATTCGCTTCTTTGTCTTCACATTGGTTTTTTGATCTTTTTATGAGCATTAATACCCAGACGGTAGCTTTTCCGATAATCTTCTACTGTTAAATTTCGCTGTAGAATTGCCTCAGCACAACAAAATTCTGAAATAAATAATTATGCTAATTTGATTAGTTTGGTTTTGAAATAACGGTGATATCCCAAAATTTGAGCGCTAGAGCTTTCCTGGGATCAGATTTAAATTCCTCGTCAATGAATACATTTAAAAGACTTACATACTTTATTTTCTGATTCTGTTTTTTCACTCCTCATAGTAGTGGACTCGAAAACTTTGAGAGTTCTCAAAAAAGGATAGTATCACTTTCGGTATATTTATTGGACGCAAACTCTAATCTTCTTTCAGTGACTTATTATGTTCCCTAATCTTAAAACCAAACGAGACTACATATTATGCACTTTATGAATTAACAAGTTTAAAAATATATGTGTGCTATAAAATAAAAGTTGGTTGCTTGAAGATAATCAACTTAATAAACTAAACTTCTGCATTTTTAATAGAAATTCAAAGAATGATAATCCGACATAGACGATATTTCAATAGCCGTAGGACAATATTTAATTTATAATTCTTTCCTGTCTATTCATTAATAAAAATTAAAACATATTAGGCAATTATCGTCTCTTAGATTCTAACCAGTCACATTTTAAGTCATCTGGCATTTACCGAAGTTTAACGGTATATTTTCTTATTTATTAGTCGAAATTAGAAGCAAATGTCAATTTCATAAAATTTCTAGCTTATACTTCTAATAACAGTTGATAAAACTTTAAGATTCCGACGTACACTGTTAAAACTAAATATTCTAAATAAAGAGATCCAAATTATGCAGAATGTTGTGTTACAGTCTGATGACTTCACAGTTTACGTCTCTGGTAATATCGGAAGAAGATCGAAAAATAAAAAGAATGATCAAATCGTTATATTATTTGCAAGATGAAACAAAAAAAATTATCAAGAGCCTGTTGAATCCCCTCACGAAAAGGGTGCCGCAGATGTTTACCAATTTCATCCTAATTACTCCAAAGCTCGTATGAAAATGGTAGTAAAAGAAACATTGCAAACGAATTAGAAGCTTAATATTTCGGAAAAGGGAGCTTCAAAATGAAAAAAGCAATTAAATCTCTAATTCGTTTTTAAGATCTTTCTAACGATAAGCCACATACTGCGTATACAACCTTGACGGAGTTTCTTCTTTTCTTTTCTTTGTTGATCACACAATTTTATGATTTTATTTAACAAGTTTTGTTGTGTTTCTGTCTGCTACAAATCCTGCAAGTCAATTTTAAACCTGCACCGAAATAAACATTAATTTAGTACACATATATAGGTAATGATCTAGGAAGTCAGATAAGTCAAGGCGGAAGGAGTAGTAAGGATATAAAGCAGAGCATAGTGCAGGGTCGACTCAACTAAATACACAATCACCTAACACATAAAGCACATGACTGAAGAGGACCTGAACTGATAGGTCCTATAACGGGTTAAGGTAGAGGGGTTTTAGTCGGCAGGCCTGAGGACACCTTCCTCGGGAATCGAACACTACCCACCCATACGGATGGCTGGGTGTCTTTTGAAAATTTCCCCTCTTCCACGAAAAAAAAAAAAACAAAAAAAGGGTCGAGTAGCCATCAATAAAAGCAAGTCACTTCTATGCTCGCAAACGGTTAATTTGAAAATTCGAAAAAGATTGTTAAAGGTGTATGTTTGGAGCGCGGCGATGTACGGGTACGAAACATGGACGGTGAGCGCTGCTGAAAAGAAAAGGTTAAAAGCGTTCGAAATGTGGTGTTACAGGCGAATGATGAGGATACCGTGGATAGAAAAGGTTAGAAATGCAGGAGTTAAGATGAGTAAAGGTAGACCTAGATTAGGTTACTGTTCCCAAATAGTTAAGGATGTGGGTTGTGCTAGTTTTGAGGAAATGCGAAGATTAGCTCAGGGTTGGAAAGAGTGAAAGTGCGTATCCAACTAGTCTTTGGACTGACGACCTTATGATGATGATATAGGTAATGCAATAATATTTTTATCTGATGCTGCAGCCAGGTCAGTTTCAGCATGCATTATTTTTTCATAACCTCCTTTATAAGGATCTTATCATGGGCTTATTATCATCACCATGATAGGTCGTCAGCCCTAAAACTGGTTGGATACTTGCCTCCATTTTTTCCTATCCAACATTAACCTTCGAATTTCTCTAAAACTAAAACATCCCACGTCCTTTGTCCTATTTGTGAACAATAATCTAGTCTACATTTACCTGTACTCCTAACTCCTTTTTCTGCTTCTAATATGTCTCTAAATAATTGGTTTAGAGGATGAGAATAGATAACCCAGGTAACATCTTTCAATAAACACCAGATAAACGGGCTTGGCGAGTAATATACTCTACCACTAAGCTACGAGAACCTGACAACGAGATACGTACCTAAGAGTATAAGTCGCAGAATTGTCAAACCAATATATAGATAATCATGATTAGTAATGCGACACTTTGAATTTTTGTAGGGTTAAATTCAATGCACTAGTGAATTAATTTTTTCAATTAACTTTAACTATACCACTAAACTACGAGGAGGTGCGTCCCGCTGTGTAAAACTAGGGGCTCGGATTCGATTCCCGACGACGGAGTGACACCAGGTACAATTTTTCCTCATTAATTTGAGGTTATCTATTGTGAGTTACGTTTATTTCTACATGTTTCTTACTATAATTTAATATATTACAATCCGTCTAAAAAACAAGCAAAAAGAACAATTTATCACTTCCACACAACTGTGTTAGTCTGTACGTCCATTGATAATATAAAAACGCTTTTATACAAAACTTTTTTGTCGAAACGTGCTTAAAACTATTGGCTTTTAAATAGAGCTCGTGTCCAACAATAAAGCAAAACAAAAGAAAACATCTATGTTTAAACACATTTCGACAAATTGTCGAAAAACATTGTCTGATCAGAAGGCGCTAACATTCGATAAATCGACAAAACGTTTGTCTGAGAACATTTTCTTTTGTTGAAAAACATTTGCAATGAGCACGTGTTTTCGTTTTCGACATTTTGTTGAACGTACAAACACGGTCCCTTGTACAAAGGCAGAACATTTCGTTCTGCGAATGGGTTCCTAAATGCTTCATTAACTAGGTTCCAGCAAGCAAACAGCTTGTACTTAACCACGTAATGTTACGAAATTTTCTTTCATTCCTTCTTCTCAGTTCTTCATTTGTCTCCTTCTGCTGTGGTTTAATGGATTCATCCATAGTGTTGTTTTTTCTTGCTTTATCTTCCTCGCATGTCAATTGTAACCATTGTCATATAGCAATCACGCTTCTTCATCGTCAGACGACACGTTAATTAGTGAATTTTGATTATGACGCTGTTTCTGTAGTTTATTATTTTTATAGGCAAGAGAGTGGCTTTTCATGAAATTCACTTTACTGTCGTACAAAACGTTTTGTTATACATCAAAACGTCTTAACGGATAGTAACACTTTGTATTACAAAACGTTTTGAATAAAAGCGTTTTTGTCAAAATGCGTTTTACAACTTAGTGTTAACCGAATAACTCAAATAGGCCCAACACGAGACTCATGATATCGCTTTCTCATTAACAACCTCCACCCACTGTTTGATAATCGGTCGCTCTATAATTGCGTATGCCAACGGTCGACAAATGGAGAACCTCGGTCCAGATCCGGACCGCGGAAAGTCAAAAACTGGACCACCAAAAATTTTTAAAAGTGTAAATTACTCAAGTAAATTATTAAAAAAATATTTTTCTGAACAGTTTCTGAGCTATAAGCATCATCCGGTGCAGCAGTAATAACATTAATTTAACCACAATTTTTGCTAAACGCCGTTTTATGAATCTTTCAAGCGGATGTATACGGAGGCTGCACCCAGCGTAAACCTAACTTTAGAAAACTTGCTAAACGTCGTAAATATAACTTCTCCCATTAAATAGGAATATGCGTACTTATTGTATTTCATATTTTGTGAGTGAAAGTTAAAATAAAAAAATACAACATGTAATTATACAACACGCTACTGAAGTGAAACTTCTTCAAACACACAAACATACCGGGATAGGGGTTAAGGAATGGGTTTAATGGTATTACTTGTACACTATGAATTTAAATTTTACACTACACATGCCGGAGTTGCCTGTAACGAACGTTGCATTGAAGCGCGCTCACGGCTCAGGCGATCCCCACTACGAACTCGACTACGTGGCCGAGCAGAGGGGGAACATCAGCAACTCGCATGAAACGAACTTACCCTACCGTGCATGAAGAAGTTTCACGTCAAAAATTTGTAAAGAATATGTTTTCTTTAGGAACTAGATAAAAATTTCCGGTAAATGTCTAGATGATGGCGGGTGGGATCGAAAGAGGAGGTCTCCCCCACCACTGTACCATAAAAAGTTCGTGGCGGTCTCACCCCCATAACTTTTTATCATCATCTAGACCTTTACCAAATTTCCAAAAATAGCCAGACCTCACCTAAAATTACTTGCCGACCCCTAGTTTATAAAGTTTCAACACCTGTTGACAGTGCAATTTCTTCGCCGATTCAAATGGAATGTCTTGAATAGTAACAAATAGCCGGTGCAGTTCGAATTTCCGCTTACCGGCATCGCCGAGGTGCGTTGTCCGCAGACGAAATCGCGAAGAAGTAAGTAGACGTGGTCGGTCTCGGTCTCAAAGCCAGTCAACTTAATGAACTAGACCGATGCAAGTCTATTGCTTATTTCTGCTACTATCGCACCGGTTAAAAATCATAAAAAGTATACAGTGCCTTAAATAACAACGTGCCTTTTTATACAGTGACAATAATATTGAAGTGTAAAATACAACATCTAAGTATAAAGAATTATCAATTATTTGGATCTTCAATTTTTACCCGTAGCTGCTGGATTACGGTATGTAAGATTTATTTTGAGAAATAAATACATAAACTATTTACAATTTTGATTAAATAAATGACAATCAACAAACCGAGTTCAATCTAAAGAATAAATTACACAAGTATTCGCAACGTCCAAAAGTGTGCAATGCCGTTCGCCTTCAACAGGTGGATATAGTAGATTGTAGACACATACAAGCTAAGATTTTTTCTAACAAAAACGGTAAATTATGGTGAACCATGACTATATTAAAATTTACTCTTAATATGATACTTTTACGTATGGAATTAACTTAATTTTAGTATTGTGGTATGTGTACCCTTTTATTTCATTGTCACGTAGAATAACGGATGTGTAATTGATATCATACAAATCAATATCATCCATTCAAGATATATAAAAAGTTGGTTATTTAATTATAGCGAAAACCACAATCAATTCTTAAAAAATATTTTAGAAAGTAAAAGGAAAAGGAAATCGAAATACATTAATAAATAATAGATCAAACCCGAATGTCAAAATACGACACAAGAACTAATTTATCACTGAAGAAGGTAACATTGTTACCGAAAAGTACTCTAGATGTTCAGTGTCTTATTTTGGCATTGAGATTTGANGATTGTAGACACATACAAGCTAAGATTTTTTATAACAAAAACAGTAAATTATGGTGAACCATGACTATATTAAAATTTACTCTTAATATGATACTTTTACGTATGGAATTAACTTAATTTTAGTATTGTGGTATGTGTACCCTTTTATTTCATTGTCATGTAGAATAACGGATGTGTAATTGATATCATACAAATCAATATCTTCCATTTAAGAAATATAATAAGTTCGTTATTTAATTATAGCGAAAACCACAATCAATTCTTAAAAAATATTTTAGAAAGTAAAAGGAAATGAAAATCGAAATACATTAATAAATAATAGATCAAACCCGAATGTCAAAATACGACACAAGAACTAATTTATCACTGAAGAAGGTAACATTGTTACCGAAAAGTACTCTAGATGTTAAGTGTCTTATTTTGGCATTGAGATTTGACCCTTTTATTAAGTGTTCTATAACACCACCAGTTTCCAGTCTTGTTGGTTTGGGATACTCCAAAAGAAGTTGTTTTTTATTTTTAATTGAAAAAGTATATATTTT